TTTGCTGTGCACGTTACATCTATTCTGATGAAGCTTTGCTACTTTTGATAATAAACACTGGGCTTAGCACAATCGAGTCTATTTCCAAATACAGGTCCATTATAAAAATAGTTAATTCCGTGCAGTTAATAGAAATGTGACTATTTTTTTTTTCTTCTTTGGCAACTGAGTCTCCAATACGATGTTGTCGACTATACTGCCAATGTCGGTTGGTGACGGCCGATTAATGAACCGTCGAACTTAAATGTGACTATTAAAAAAACGAATACTTAACATTTTCTCTAGACCAGACAGAGGATCAATACCTACAATGTACAAACATATCTATAAGAAACTGCAGTCAAACCAAAGATAATTATCATCCTACTTCTTCGTCAATAAGTTAAAAACAAATGCGACACTCGATCCCTTTCAACCAATCTGTCTACCTCCTTAACACAACAGATTGAGGATAATAGCAGAGGATATTTGTACTCTGTTAATGGCATTAGACGCGCCTCCATTATGTGGACGAAGGTATAATGTTACTGACAAAGTGGTGCTCCTGACAGCTCTAGCTAAATGGTTGAAAAAGTAACTCCCGATCGATTTCGATCAGTGTGCCCACTCTGTCTAAAAAAATTGCTCACTACGCAGGATACATTATAGAAGGACGAAACGGAGTGTAGGTATATCTATGTGTATGTGCACACTTTTACTTAGTAATGTGCTATCGGCAGGTTACATAGAGCCTAGAATACCTATGGCCCTACAATACTGCACTTACTTACAAAGTCCCCTTTTTGTTTTTTTTTTTTTTGATACCGGGGGTATCTTTCAAAAGGCGCCTAGGTTTTTGGGGATAAAAGATTAGGGAGTTTGGGATTTTTACCTCACTAAAACCACCCCGGTGGCCACCCTCAACACCTGTATGAAGGCACCGGGTCCTCTAAAAGAGACCTGCTTCGGAGCCTCCACGGTGTAACGCCTGTTACAACACATCTCTAGAGAGACGGGGATCTCCTCCTTTTTGTGCACAAAGTCCCCTAGTCATATTAAACAGAAATTAGGCAGACGATGTCTCTGATCAACTTGATACTTTTAAACTGTTATCTCCATTCGCTTTCCAAGTGTTGAGATTCCCCCTTTCTTGTATTCCAACACTGGATTGATGACTGATGACATATTTGCAAAACCTGACCGAAAAGACGTTTAGAATGGTTAGACTATCAAGCATGAATGCCATAGTCATGCATTGATAACAAAGAACTTGTGAATTGATTATATTTTGACGGACTTATTGGTCTAGTGATTCTAAAGGAGACTACTGAACTATGGTTCGATAACCTTGGTAAAAAAAGTCTGGAGTTGTCTGACGTATGATAACTGTCTCATTGTAATCGTTTTTTTTTTTTCGTTTGTAATCGTTTAATTCATTGTAATTAATGGATGGAAAACCTCAACTGGTAAACGTATGCATGAGCAATATTTTTAATTATTTCTATGCGTATTTACAACTCCTTGGTACCTTATATATCATTACTATGTATGTAGGTTACCTCAAAATTATACTAGAATGTAGATAAAACAGACATCGGAACGTTGAAAAATGTATCATTTACAACACAATCACACCACTAATGACATCATAAAATAACCTTTATTTTTAACCTAATTAGTCTCAAAATAAACAATCCCGTACCAGTCAGATTGTCACGTAATAAACTCCATTTCTGAAGTCCTGGTACTCTTAAAATATAAAGATTTTATTATAGCAATATTTCTCAGAAACTATGAAGACGAAAATATGTCTAGTAATATACTGAAGCCATCTTAGACTGAGATAAAAGATAGGAAACAATATTTTTTCATCTGGATTCTGAAAACAAATGGAGGGAAATCTGTCAGTGAATTTACCTATATTCAGATCGGTAGAACTAATACATTCTGAGTATTAAATATTACAATAACATTACGTTTTATTTTGATGATTTAAAAATACTCAGTAATGAAATAATAATATAACTAACAAAATCACAAGACATACTTCACGACACGTATATAGATCTCTCTCAAAGAAACATAGGTGGACTGTAAGTAGCTGACACGGCCACAGGTCCAACACACCAGGCATCAACTTGTGGACATTATTGAAACATATGAACTAGGGAAATAAACAACATTCTATTCTATTATATTCTAATATAATAATAAATATTGTTCAGAAGTTTATTCATAAATGGTTTTTAACTGCCTCATTGACCGAGTGGTCGCAAGTGCGACTGCCGGGCAAGGGGTCTCGGGTTCGATTCCCGGGTCGGGCAAAGTATTACTGGGTTTTTAAAAATCTCAGTAGTAGCACGGAGTCTGGAAAAATGTGCCCGGTATATGGCAATAGGCTCACCCCCTATTACATGGGACTCATAACATAAATAGTGAAAAGTGGGTGTTACATTGTACAGTGGCATTAAGTGCCGAAATGTGCACCTCTGCCTACCCCTTCGGGGATAAAAAGGCGTGATGTTATGATGTTATTATATGGTTTTTAACTCTAGATTTTGTAGTACTCTTTTTAAGGGTGGGAAATCATGAAATGACACCCCCGCCTTGTATGTGGCTAAGGGGATTATCATATCAAACTCTTACTAGTTAAAAACTACACTATTCCAACTCCTGCTTCGAGTCGGAGCCCTGGTAACCCACAAGGTCATCCACAGCCTCACACTATACTTTGCTTAAGAAATGGTACTGATTTGATTAATTATATCAGTAGTTTATGACTTGTCCAGCTAATCCTTCAAGCTAAAAACTATTAAAACGCCACTATAAATTAATATAAGAAATAAAACAACATAATGATCTCAAATAGACACTATTCCAATGTTAAGTTTTCTCTTAAATTATATTATTATGTACCTGGGATAAGGTACGGCAGTGAAGCTACTAAAATGAACCCAAAATTTAGAACGTGTGAGGCAATAAATCTTCTTAAAGCCTAGCTCTTTCGCTATGAATTGATATCAATATGTAACAATGAGCCATGTATGCTATGAACAATGAGGGCTTGGGCAGGCTTTGTTTGCCATAGTAATATCAACTTTGTGTAAAGGGTCTATCTAACCACCTAGTGTGCTTTAGCACTTCAACTATTTCTATGTACCTAGGTAAGAGAATATAGAAACAGAGGTGTGCTTTCAATACTTTACAATACTGTCTTCTATAGTACGAAAGATGACGACCAAAATTTTTGTCTCATAGCAATAAAGCAAAATCGCCAGATAAAGCATTTGTCTTATTATTATACTTAGTGCCTGTTTCCCAACCTTCATACAAATCACTACATAGAATAAGAACAAAGTCGTTTTCCACCGTCTCTGTGTCCCTATGTATGCTTAGATTTTTAAAACTACGCAAAAGATTTAATGCGGTTTTTTTAACAGAAAGAGTGCTTCTTAACTCGTCGAGTACCGGTTTTATAGACACAATTAAACTGTCAAACACCAAGCGGTCACCGGTGACCGCGACCTATTGTTCTTTAATTGTGTCTATAAAACCGGTACTCGACGAGTTAAAGAACAATAGGTCGCGGTCACCGGTGACGGCTTGGTCTTTGACAGTTTAAGGAAGGTTTATATGTATAATAAATGCATATTGCACCCGTGCGAAGCTGGGGCGGGTCGATAAAATTATGTGACAGATTATTACACACACATTACTTACACACATTAAATTCACATACACATTACGTTCTTATCTGCAACACAGCGGTTATCCAGACATTATGAAACAGGCTCTAACGGTAGGTACTTACTGAACTAAATTTCTTACATCCACTTGGCAACTAAATACATCTATTCAGTCCTGATTTAAGTATTCCTGTGTTATTGTTATTAGACAATTTCTATTCTATTCTTCGGAAATATTGTCCATATTTTTGTATAATCAAGCTTTTGACTCCTTTCTACATTATTCAGCGTTATATTCCTGATTTCGATTTACATATTCATCAATGCTGCTTGTTCTGTCAATGGAATACAAAATGGCGTCTGCTGTTGTTATTGTAATTTATTAACAAGGAATGTTTTTAATAAAACATTACGCATATTTGTCTGCAGACGGAGGTAGAATTATAGTCCAATTAATTATTCATTTCCGCTTAAACAAAGATAAATACCTCGATAAATTACTGAATTTGAAACGAAGGTTGCTCATCTAAATTGTTCAGTAACCTGCTACAATACTCTTCAAAATCGGTCTAAACGATTAGAAAGAATTCAACAAAAAACAAAATTATAAAGACACACATCCAGATCAGAAGATCACACATCAGGCTGAGAATAAGCCTAATGTTTTGTTATTTTATTAAGTACTCTTAAAAATATAAAATTATTCACCACAAGCACAGCCTACACAAAATGAAAACATGAATCCAATACCGCTGAATATTTAAAATGGTAATATTTGAAGTGGTATTAGGAAGGTGACATTTTCCTGGTATATTTCAACATTGATATTTTCCGTTAGGCATAACGATATCGTTTGTTATATTATTCATAAGACATGACAAGAGTGATAGGTAACCGCACTGGGAGTGTATCCAGACTCGCTAATGTATTACAGTCACCATCGTAATTCCGTAATTTATTAATATATTCGACAGACTCGGTATAAAGCCATTTGATATCTGGTTTCTTTGCTAGGGCATATTAATAAAATCATCAATCTAATGATATGGAAGTCATAGTAAAAATCCAAAACCTTGTAAACAACTGCAGCACTTGTGATGACTATACAACGGAGCAGTCAAATAATGTAACAAAAAAGTAATCAAACAATACCTATGTTGTATATTCATGAATTATTTGAAACACCTTGCGGCTTTTTCCGTGACATATTTAGGCCAACTTTGGCAAGTCGATCGACACCCAATATAATACTTGGATAACCTTTGGCTGAGCCCTCGACATATATTTTGAGCATAAGAAAACAATGACGTGAAATCGTCCGATCTGAACCAAGGTCATAATGCTTAATAATGCAGAGAGGAAATTAATCACCTGTTTATTAAATGTTGCCAATTTTTTGTTTTTAATTAACCTTTTCACTTTATGCTTCGAACAGATTAATCAGCCGACGGGTCGTTGCAACTGACAGATTAAAAATGATCGCCGGGTTATCCACTGAAAAACGTAGTTGGCATTACATAGTCTCAGATTTAACATGAAATGTTATCTACAATTAGATAACACGGGTGACTTTACAAGAAACTGTCTAGAAAACGCGGTACCCATAGCGGTCCGGTGGTTGCGCAAACCAACGCCCCACTGACGGCACCAATGAACTGGAAAGCAAGGTCTTCGACCACCACATTGTTTTATTTTAGCAGTGTCGTTCTAATTAGGACTAGTCGAAACAATACCACAGGAAGGAAACGACCGGATACGGGCCCCCAGACGCCCTGTGAAAACTATCACACAACTAATACAAAAACTATTCCGTTCCACCGAATTTAACCTTAGTATAAATAACAGTGCAATACTGAAATGACATCAGTCTCGAATCGTCGGTAACAATCACATCGACAATGATGTTGACACAAGTTTTCACCCTCGCCCTGGTTGCGTTGGCAGCAGCTCACAAAGTCGAGCTGGCTGATGAGAAGACTCCATACGATTATGTGAAAGAACGTTTGGACGCGCTCGGTACTGACGGAAAAACTGGATTACCTCTATCTAATAGTTATGAAGTGGAAGAAAGTGAAGACTATCCTGAGCAAATAGAAGGAGCCGCGTCTACTGTTCTGAATACTGTTACTGGTGTTGGTGGTGTTGGTGGAGTTGGTGGACTCGGTGTTGGTGGATTAGGCTTAGGCCAAGGACTCGGCTATGGAGGCATCGGACTTGGAGGCATTGGACAAGGACTGGGACTCGGTCTCGGAGTTGGCGGTGTTGGCGTCGGTGGTGCTGGTGTGGGTGGAGTCGGCGGTGTAGGAGTTGGTGGCGTTGGTGGTGTTGGAGGCGTTGGAGGCGTCGGCTTTGGCGTTGGCAACGGAGTTGGCCTTATTCACCCCGGAATTGGTGGATTGGGAGTCGGTGGAATCGGCCTAGGAAATGGTTTGCTATACCACCCATTGCTCGGTCAACAAGTAAGTGGTGGATACGTTGACAAAAATGCTTACGACGCTGCTCAGAAGAAAGGTGCTGGAGAGAATTTAGAAAAAATAGAAAAGAAAGCTGAAGAGGAAGTGAAGCATGGCCAGGAAGGTTACCAACAGGGTGCTGCTGCCGCTTTAGCCGCTAAGGGTGAATCAAGCTTCTACAAGGACGAAGAAGCCAAGAAAAAAGCTGCCGGTGACGAGAAATTTTACGAAGGAAACTCGAAACTCGACAAACACGGTAGGTACGTTTATAAAATTATTAACAAGTAAATCAATGCCTTACGCGTAGTGTACATTTTTAAATGACTCATTATTTTGTTACGATTTCACGCTCACTTGTCAATCAATAAGTTTTTTACCGTCAATTTCGGCAAAATACAGCAAAAACCGTTATAATAAATTAATATTTAGTAAACGTACAATGAAATGGAAACCGATTAATATTTAGATGAGTTTTTTGTTACTGTATTTACATTTCGTAATGTTTTAGGTGCTAACGAGGAACAGGTTAAAAAAGCCAAGAGTCATAAGAAAGGTCATGTGAGCAAGGGTTTCAAGAGTTCCAGTAGCAAGAATGAGGAAGAAAAGACTGAGAGCTTCTATGATGAAGCCCATGACGAAGCTGATCATAAACTTGCTGGACACAACGCTGGTTCCTTCGGAGAGAACGCTCAACAAGGATTCAAGGGAGCTCAAGAAGAGAAGATTTTGGATGCCAACTCTCAGGGCAAGGAAGGACATCACGTGTCTGAACAGAAGATTGATGATTCCAAGGCCAATAAGGTAAGTGACAATTCTAAGAGATTTTGAATTTTACAATACAGTCTTTAATAACATTGATGGCATCGATCCATCACTATGCAGTGTCAGACAAAATCAACATACAGTTTTATCTACTTCACAATGTTCACAATAGATGAGATTTTTTGAGATTCTGTTCAGCTATTTTACAGCATTTTCAAATTCATGAGCTATTAAACTGCATAACGTTAAACCATATTATTTAAAGATCGTTAATTAACTAAAGCTCAATACCTAATACCTTTAGCTACAAATATAGGATCATCCATTTAATTAAGATTTACTGCCAGAGTTTATAGGATTTCTATAGCTTTACCTGTTTTAATGGTCTGATCGTTTTACGATGAAAGATAATGTTTAACAGTTTATTTCGTTTGCATTTATAATTACTATGATATGGGTAGTATTAAATGTGGCTAGTAATTTATCGGCTTTAGATTCAATGCGTTTGATCTCAGATAAATTAAGTATACAATTTGCGCCTGCTATTTTTAAATCTTAACCAGATTCAATTGCAGAGTCAGTATCAATTGCTGATTCTGGGAATCAAAGCCATGATCTCGATCAGCAATATGAGCATTTCTAACATGATGGCTATTTTGTTAAACAAACTGCTTTGCATGTAAACGTACAGAGCGTAAAGTATTTAGCTTTTGGTAAAAAGAAATAAGCACAACACCTACATAAAAGATTGAATAACATCTAATAACAAAGCAATTTCTGTTTATCGTCAAAACTACTTAACAAATTCTAAGCCACAAAGCCTGTAAGTATTAAACAAACGATGTTCATAAAAGTAGAGTATAAAATTAAATACAACGTATTTATTCTACAACAAATGCCAACTTTAATGGCACATAAAATGTTACTTTAGTTTTTATACATTGTTTAAATTGAAAACAGTTGGCTGTAAGCTCGTTAAAAAGAAATGTCTGTAGGTCCGCTGTATAAAAGCCATCGAATAAAGCCACCAGATGTTTGAGCTACGTTTTAGGGCTCTCGTGGAAATAAAATTGTACAAAATTGTTTCGCTAACCTCACTTCGGTTTAACGAAATGTTTTCAGACTGAAACGTATTGTGGTCTAGACTTTGTTTTAGATAATGATTTTAATAATCATTTTGTTTTATTCTATCCCTGTTGGTTAATTGTATAATATCCTCGCCTATTCAATTTTTATTTAATGAGGTATTTGCAAGTTTAATAAACCCACCACCACTTCAAAATTTGATAGTATTTTTTAAAAACAAACTGTTAAATAGAATTTGTTAAACCATGGTTTGAATTAACACAAATAAACTTATTCTGCACTGGCGAAGATGGAAAATAAACCACTCAATAATCCATATTCTAAACTAATCTTCTATCTTCTTTTACCAGGGTGAGTACCTGCAGAAAGGCTACAAGGGTGGTGCCGAAGTTCTGGAGAAGTTCAACAACCTCGGAGCTCACTCAGTGCATGGACATCAAGAGGCAACTGGAGGCTACCAGCAGAACAAGGGAATCCTACCCATCCACCGTTAAACAATGTTCCTTTTGATCAATGGATGCAATAAATAAACTTTTTGATGCTTTTTAAATTATTGGTTTTGTTACTTTAGATAGGTACAGAATCCTATATCTCAGAATAGAAAAGAACAGACAATCGTCAGTAAGCACACCTTTGTAAAGTGAAGGATGATCTTAAGGCATTCTTGCATAGGTATCTACCTCTATATTATGTTTTTTTTAAGGGGGGAAATTCATCGAAATATTTCTCCCGCCTAGGTAAGGCGGGAGGGAGTGTCAGACTCTCACTGACTAATAACCACCCCATTCCGACTCCTGCACTTCGAGCCGGAGCCTAAGTAATCCGTTAAGTTCTCCGCGGCTCCGTATACCTATATTATGTCTAAGCTACGAAACAGAGTTATATAAAATCGATACTGTCGGTAAATACGACTCTAATCTCTAATTCTTGGAGTTTACGTAACAACATTTATGACAATGTTATAGTTAACCAGAAACTCAAACCAGTAATTAAAATTTCCCAGTCTTTGAAACAGATTTTTTATTACAGATCTGCTACGGCATTATGCTACCTACGATAGCAAAGATCATACGTACATCATTATTTGTAATTGTAGATTTACATGTCTATCTGGTACCTCAGTTCAGATATAACAGTTATCATTGTATTAGCCACAAATTGGGTGGTTTCCAGGGTATCAAAATTAAAAATCTAATTAGTCCGTCAGTTAGATCATGAAAAAATATTAGACACGTGTTTTTTTATTTTCTCGTATTAACTCGTCGAGTACCGGTTTTATAGACACAATTAAAGAACAATAGGTCGCGGTCACCGGTGACCATTGGTGTTTGACAGTTTAAGTTGCAATACTTAGATAAAATGGCGCTAAGTTTAAGAGTGGGAGGTCGTTACGTCATTACGTGCTACAAATTGTGGCACGCTGTGACGTCACACAATATTTCAAATTAACATATCGTCGAAAGTATTTAATTTTGTGAGAAAAGAATAAATACGTGTCTAAAGTTTTAAATTAATGTACCAGATGGACATTAAAATAAAATTTAGGAAACTAGTAAACTACCCTATTGTCCACTACGGAACGTAGTCCTCCGCAATGATATCCAGATTCACCATTATTGGATAACTCTAATTCAATATCAGTCTATTATCTGTTGCACCGTCACTCGCTATGAACTATTACTTGGTAATCGAATCGAATGCTTGCGTGACACCACTCAGAGGTCATGTTAACATATTGCACTTGACTTACTCTAAAGTCACACGTATGCGTGACCAGAAAGAATTGTTTTAATAATAAAATTCCATCCAAAAATCCATGAATAAGGCTGTTTTGAGAATTAGGTCAATTAGGCTTTATACAATACCTATTAAATAACAAATCTATTCTATAACCATGTTTGTAAATTCTATCTAATGTATGTTACGTACGGATCTGAATGAAATTTAGCACGGAGATAGATTAATTTATAATATATTCTGGAAGTCTTATGTGGGTAGGTGGGGGTGAACCTATTGCCATATACTGAGCACAATTCCAGACTCCGTACTACTACTGAATTTTTTTTAAAACTTAGTTATACCCTTGAATTGAACCCGAGACCCCTTACCCGGCAGTCGCACTTACGACCACTCGGCCAATGAGGCATTACATGGGACTCATAACATAAATAGTGAAAAGTGGGTGTTACATTACATTGTACATCGGCACTAGTTAGTTAGGGCAGTTACCTTAATGCACCTACTAATGCCTAACCCTTCGCCTTCGGAGATAAAAGGCGCGATGTTATGTTATTTTATGTTATTCTGGAAATTCTAGAACTCAGGTTACTTTTTATCCTTAAATCGTGAGTAAGACCGTTAATAAAAACTAGTAAATTAAAAATTATAATGGAACATTATTAAAATGAGGGCGTTATGAATAAAATGAGGTAGGATTATAGCCTAAATTGTTAAAGGATAAATTATTCAGATGTCTGAAAAGTCGTGGCGTCTATATCAACAAGTTTTGGAACGTATGTTACAAATACATTGGTTATTTTCCACTGGTGTGATGAGAAAGGAATATGTAGCTATAATTGTGTCTGTAAATACCCTGTAGACTAAATTCCTTGGTTACGCTGAAGTAAAACAGTTTCCTAAAAGGCTGTAACTTACAAAGAGCCAAGATAAAAGACAATTAGAGTATTTTCGCGTTATCTTTGCGCTTCCTTCTTGGTTTTCTCAAAAGCCTCTCAAAGGCAATTAGCGTAAGGTGCACAATCTAAAGCGTAAATTTACTTAAAGTCGACTGAGTGTTTTGGTTTTTTCTCCTTTATTTTTTGTTTAACTTTTCTAAATGAGGTAGGTATTAAAATCGTTAGTTTAATTTGAATACCTGCTCTGAAGCGATAGATTTTATTTACTTTAGTGAATTTGGTTACAGGTATAGCATCTAACCGCAAAGGTGCTCCCACACCGGGAGCATTAGCGTGTAATGTAACGTTACAGATCTGAGCATTACATCAGTGAAGGAGGAGAACCGAGCATTACAATGCGTACCTTATAATGATACAATGTGTAATATCTTGATACAACTTGTAACATCAATGTCTGACATCTTGCTATGAAATGCTCAAAGTCGAATCAATATGTTATATTACACGCAAATGCTCGTTAGTCAGGGAAGTATTATTGTAATGTAATGCTCTAAGTCGAACCTACAGGTATTATTTTTTTTTAATGTGGGAAAATCATCGAATGGCTGCTCCTGCCTGGGTGGGGCGGGAGGGAGTGTCAGACTCCTACTGACTAAAAACTACCCCGTTCCTTCTCCTACACGTCGAGCCGGAGCCCCGGTTACCCATTAGGTTCTCCGCGACAACCTATAGGTATAATGTTACATTACACGTGAATGCTCCCTGTGAGGAAGTACCATTAAGAAAATGATACACCTACACTTTGACCTACCTTTCTAAGAACATTTATTACATAGGAATAAGAACAAATGTCCAAAATTGTTATTACGATAGTTACCGATAGATATATATGTGTCGAAAAAGAAAATATTAAACTCTATGAATGTCATTAAGACCTCATTTTGCTAAAACCTCAATCTGTTATCTGCTAAGAGACAGATGAGGAAATTGAGAATGTTATCAAAGTACTTAATAGATGACTTTGACCTTTTACTCGCCCATCAAACTTGCCATTATGCTAATCTGTTAAAATCTCATCTCATGTGATTAAATGCAGGTAACTCAGAAATGGCTGCACTGGTTTTCATGACCTCTTACTTATTATATTTGATACCTACTTAGGTAGGCACACTTAGTAAACCTAGTATTGGTGTAAATGCGCTTTATGTGTTTTGACGCTCATGATAACAAATTAAAAGACTTTTCGTAACTAAGAAAATAAAAAGATGATTAAGTAAATAACAAAATTATTTTTATTATAAAAAATAACATTAAACATGCAAATGACGCAGTTATTATTATTCTATATTATTATAGTTACACTATGAAACGAGATTAAAGTGCTAAAAGCTATCCTATTATGAAAATGCAGAACCCATTTTGTTATTACTTCGCTAAGTATTTCCATTTGTAGCAATGCTTTCGCTCCATTAACTGTCTACATAGTTTGTGCTTTGCATTAAATTGCTAATCTCAAATGAAGAAGATTATAAAAATAGATTGTTGTCTCTTTACATAGTTCAAAACTTAACAAAAATGAACAAATTATTTTAAATTAGAAAAAGTACAGACGACGTTCCATATTTAAATTGAAAAGAATAGACAATAAAAGTAATAATCCATGCATTCAGTCTATGGTATACGTTACTACTCGTATAAAATAAATAAAACCTCATATCATCGAACTTAAAAAAATAGTTCTAATCGAACCTTATTATCTTCATTTTATTGAATGTACATTTTCCGTGTCCATTGCAATAAACCCCGGGCGATCGCAACGGACTGTTTGACATATAGCCTGATTCATTACTGCTACTGAAAAACCTAGAAAGCAAATCATCCGGTAAACGTTTTTTTTACGAAATAGTAATTAAACGGCAAGATTGATTTGTTATGATCATTTGGCAAAGACATTGGTTTGTTTAGAAAAAGTTGATTTGATTTATTGATCGTGAAGGTTTTATATTAATCATAGCCAGAATATCAATTAACGCTTGTTCATTCGAAGTAAAAACATTTGTCTATTAAAAAACTGTGCAAGAACGAAATAAACAAAACGAAACAAATGACAATAATAACATGAAATAAAATAAAGTTTTTGTTCTACACAATTTAAAATTTCGAACGCAATTTAAATTTTTCGAATAAATTTTACTCAATCAGCAGTGTCACGATTGGATTCATTTTAAAGTAAATGAAAAGGTAATAATACATTACTGTAAATAAAAAAAAATGCTTTATCGTCATCCCTGAATTAATGCTATTTTCTTCTAAATAAGAATTATATTCAGACTCGAAAATAATGTAACGTCTGGCACAAAACCACAATTTAGCATAAACCGCATGTCATATTCCATGCCATTTCATCCCCATATCTCGAGTCTTGACATAAAGTAATATAGTATTCGTGTCATACACAACGCGCTGTCACACAATGTAACACAGGCCTAAAGAAAATAGGCTGAATAATTCGTTTTCCAATGCCGCCAGCCGGTAATAAAAAATAAATGTATATTTCTTTATGGAAATTCGCACTGGCATACGCGAGCGAGTTTTTGGATGCGTTCAGAATACCATTAAAGACTCTTTAAAAAGTTGGAGTACCCAGCGGACTCTGGAGTCGGTGGAGTGAAGACGGTTGAAGATATCTTGTTTGAAGTGTTTGAACGCTGGAAGTAAAATTAAAGTGTATTTTAACCAAGTAACTAGACCTAGCATACCTCGTTGGTCTAGGGTAATTTGACCATTTATTTTTATTGACATTTTGACATTATGGAAACAGGGGATTCCAAAATTCAAAACTTAGATTTGTACCAGAC